AAGACAGAAAATTGACTAAGCTTGTATTATAAATATAGACTAAGCGTATCCAAACAAAATGCAGACCTCTTTGACAGCAGATGATTTGATCAAGGGCAGAAAAGTTTTATAACTGTACAAATTCGACCGTGTATTCGGAATGAACTGGTAAGACTTACATTGTTCGTGACGCCGAAATCCTATACTATCAGAGCTATTCGACAAATAGCCCCGACAGATCGGCAAGGGTGTTCTTTTGGACTACAAAACCCTGAAATACGAACACAGTAGGTAACAGACAACAAGTACAAATCAGTTGGGATAACTCACATCTACATCAGCACCGGGCATAATAACAACTCCTGTCGACCTCCGTTTCTCCCTCAAATGTCTCTTGGCCTGTCTCTTGTGTGCACTTTCGCTCGCTCTCTCCTTCTTGATGCTCTTCTTCGGCGATTTCTCTTCGCTGGCTGCTGCTGCCCCTTCTAAAGGCGCCTCATCATGGGCATTGGCTTCAGGTTCTTCTCTGGGTTTCCGCCTATCTCTTCTGTCTCGTCTCCCTGTGTCTCGATCGGCACTGCTCGTCACATCATTTACTCCGCTGTCGTCCAAAGCTGGACTCTTATGTTCCTTTGAAGGCGATGGAGTTCCATCTATCACATCACCATAACGATTACCCCTTCGCTCTCGTCGTTCATTTCTATCCCGTTTGTGTTTAGTCCTGTGAGTTTCAGTGGTATAACTTTCATCCGACACGTCCGCCATTACTATGACAAGGGAAGCCTTGCAAGCGATAGCTCAACTTCCTGTGATAGTTAATTGGCGAAGAAACCGCTTCAAGATGCCAGTTATGTCATCAGTTCCTGCAGAAATACCTCAACTTTGGGCTGCAGGCTTTTACGTTTCAGCTTGGCGAGTTTCTGTGGAGGAATTTAGGTTACAATGGGGTGAAAATTCTTGAAAACAACCCAAGCAAGCAGCCAACGTGCATGAATATTACCCAGAATTTTGTGATTTGGACAACGGACATGCGCAGAGCGCTCGCAGCCAAATTCCACCCGCGGGCGTTGATTGGCTGATGGGGGAGACAATATAACCTCACCAACTGACACACCAAACATGTAATTGGACACCGAATTGAAATAAAATCCTTCCAATAAACACATTTAAATCGGTAAATACGTCAATCACGGTGCATACCCTTGGAGATGCTCAAAATATTTTACCATTCTAGGTGTAGCGTGACTCCAGCGAGGTAAAATAACTCGATAAGAGCGAATTGGAAACCCTCTGCCGCTTCAAATAAGGTTTTCATGGCTTGCGATTTCATCGGAATTCAGCGAAGCATGTCGGAGTGAACCCGGATGGCAGTAATTGAATTTCATCCTCTTTGTTTACTTAGAATATAAAATTGTACTGACATTGTCTTGATAGCTTTGTTGTTTGAATCTTTCCATTTACACTTGAAGAAATCGACTTCCAAGTTTTAAGATCGATTTAAGGCGTTTATAAAGCCGATATAGAGGGCTTTTTTTTAACCCCATTGACAAAATGATCTCTATGCGAAGGGCGTACAAGATAGTGATATGCTTAAAACCTTGTATTAGTAAAAAAAAAAATACAACAAAGGGTAGGAAAATGAGGACAGACAGCTCGCAAATAGAACCTTCAAATACAGACAATTACGGCAGTCCAAATGATGAAATCAAAGTTTTTTCTATAAAAAATCGTTACATTTGCTGACAGGTCATTTTTCAGAATGCCAGGGTCGAAGAAGATGATTCGAAATGCCAAAGAGGGTCGAGAAACTGAGGGGCAAAGCAAAAAAAAATGTCCCTGTTGTCTCTTTATATATAGAGAATTATCTACAATTTTGTTAACTCCTAAATTTTTCGGATTTTTCAAAGCAAGCTCTCTTTTTCTCTCAAAACATTGGCTTACTGATGCGAAAAAGAGTAAGGTTTATGAGGATAGAGAAACTTCTCTCAGCTGTTTTGTATTAGTTCCGGACAAGGCTGAGGACCGATAACTGAATGACCATTATTCTGTTAGCGGAAAATCAAATATGAGAAAGATATTAATCAGTGACACAAGCTACTCGGATTTTTTTTTCGAGTTCTCCCAACAAGGGTCGAACCCATGCCCTTCCGTACACCGGTCGACTGAGCTATAGGAGACACGTGGTAGCTATAAACAACAAGCCGGCTATAATTTAGTTGGATTATTTAACTTTATTTTCTTCTTTACTAATCTAAAATTTCTTGCACTGAAAAAAATCCCATGTTGAGGAAATTAATGAGTATAGCCATATGTAAACGAGTTAGACATCACTCAAGACAGGTCAGCGAAGCAAAATGGTGCCTACTGGTATAAATAGTCGGCTACTAAAAGAGGCCTGACGAAATGAAAGAAGAGTGAAGTATCAAGTTTAAGATAGCATAATTGACAAATTAATCTAAATGCCGCGGTGATAAACGAGGAAACATTGTTGCGGAAACATTTGTGAATTTCAATGCTTCCCTGTTTGCCCGCGCACGCAACAAATGTTGCGGACGCACGAGACGCAAAAAATGTTTCTGAATTTTTTCAGAAACAAACGTTTTGCTTCCGCAGCAAATGTTTCTGAAATGTTTGTTGGTTTGCGCAGCAAGGAAGCAAAACATTTGTTTCGCTTCCGCTCGTTTTTTCCGCCCAAGAAACATGAGCAACAATGTTTCCTCGTTTGCCATGCCCATCACGCTCCCATGCAACTACTTTTATGTCGATTGTCTCGTAAAAGTGAGTTTTTATCTAAAAATCTACTGTCAGTGCTCACCATTTATCGAAATTTGTCAAAAATTATGCCCAAATTTTTAAAAATGTGTCAGTCTTCTTCACTTTGCTCTGAAGAGTCGTAGGCAGTTTTAAAACTGACCGAGTGAGATCGCGAAATTATTACAGGGGCACCCAACGGATCGTTTCGGTGGAATATCTGTTCGGAAGGCCTATAATCGCCTCAGATATTCGGTTAAGGAAATGCCATCTCGAACTTTCTTAATATGGGAAAATTAATGCCTTTTGTTTTCGGAGAGATAAAAATGTCGTTTTGGGTACAAAAACAAGTCAGCTAGGATTTTCGGAAAGGCAAAAGCAGCTCGTAAATTCGGGAAATAAAATTTCAATCCCTAAAGTTTTCAGAAGTATGAAAGTTCAGCTAACTATGACGTATCCGAAAAGATACATTTTTCTTAGTGTTTAAAAATAAGCCATTAAACTGCACAAAAAGCACAATTATAACGTAAAAACGACGTTCCGACACCTACAGGAAAATTTTGTCGTTGGGTGCCCCTGTTATTATTAACGCAAAATGATTGTAATATCGAACGATGTACATGTGTATTGTTACGAGTGCTTGAGAAATTGAATGAACAACTTATTTAAAATCCCTTGTCAGGTTTTGCGGGGTCAGTTTGATATAAAAAGAAAAAGAAACAAGATATGAGAAGTTTACATCGACAACTGAGTTCGCCAGTCACTGACAAACTTTTTTGCCACGATATAGTAGGTACCAGGTACCAGGTCGGATATATGACCAGGCCAGCTAAACTACACCAGCATACACACTCTTAGTCCAGTCCCTGACCTCTCTCTTTACCCTGCCCTATGGGTGGGGGTAAGAGAGAGTTCAAGGTCGACTGGACTAACACACTCTATTTTCCTACTGGCCTTAATAATATTCTGAAATTAAAAGCAAAATAATTTCAATGCCACGATGGTTCTTCCTGGTGTTTATACTCAAACATCATGGTTAGCTACTTGAGCATTTGTTCAAAACGCACCCGGATAGCCATGATCTACCGGAGAAGGCTGTACTCGAAAGGTTACAGTCTTGGTGTTAAGGCATTGTCTGAGTAATCTCGCTAATGGATATGTTAAATATGGTTAATTTGGGCCTATACGTATGGGCTCAGAAGGACAACAAGATCGAACGTTAGAAATATGTTTCAGTGATCGTGATGATACCAAAAACGTGAATGAAAATTAAAGTACACTACATCAGCCCGGGACATCAGCACCAGGCTCCTGGTACTGACAGGAGCCCATGGCAAGACATTTGTTTTGCCGATCTAGACTGTACAACACGTAACAACCAAGCAAACAAAAGAGAAGAAAACAATGTTTGTTATTGAAATAGTAATTGGCACAGACATGCAGTAAATCTGTCACGTACCATGTTCCACTGGCAATCACTCAGTTGTACAGTACACAGAGGTAACCGTTCAACAATTGTCAACCAGAGCAAATTAAACTGGAACTCACTGCTACTTTGAGTATCAATTCAGATCAACAAAAGCGAAATCAGTGGAGGTCAGTGGAGTATAGAGCGATTTTATTCTCTGTCTTACATAATTGACCAAACTATTACGCATATAGAGCTAAAAATTTATGAAACTGACTTTCAGTTTGAACCGGTGGAAAGTCCCGGCGACTGAAAAAAGTTGTACAAACTCAAAGCTATATTGCGGCAGCGCTATGTGTTACCATGGAAACGTTTAGTTTTTTCCCTGCATGCTAAATAGGGCAACCGGGATTAAAACATTTAAATGATAAAAGAAGACGAATGAATTCTGGTATAGTTGAATTCAAATGATGTCATAAGGCAGACTATTAGCTCTAAGTTTGCATGCACATGCAATTAGCCGAGAAGATACTTTTGTGAAAAACTGCAAAAACAGTCGTTTTTTCTCTAAATCGCTGGTGGCAAGGCACGAAGCGCCGAAAGCGCGTCACACGGTAGGGAGTGCGAGGCGCGAGAATAAACGATGTATTTTTCAGCGTCTCTCTCCACTGAGTTCCACTCTCCGTTTTCACACTCGCTCCAGACCTTTCGTTCAAAGACCGCGCGCATTTGTTTGACAGACCAACGCAAAAAATACGACTGTTTTGCAGTCTAGAGCAAATCCAAAGGAGCACATGCATAATTACTTTGATTAAAACTCATTGGAAATACTCCTAGTACATGTACATGTAGTCACGTGGGAGACGCGGTGGCCTAATGGTTAGCGCGCTGGACTCTGGATCTCAGTAGCTGTCTGGGTTCGAGCCCTGGCTGGGGTGACTGTGTCGTGTTCTTGGGCAAGATACTTTACTCTCACAGTGCCTCTCTCCGCCCAGGAGTATAAATGGGTACCGGCGACAAAATGCTGGGGGGATAACCTGCGATGGACTAGCTTCCCATCCAAGGGAGTACTAGCAATAGTCGTTTCATGCTACAGAAACCGGTATACGTTCCGGCAGTTGTGGGCTACTAGGCTCGTGAAGACTTTACCTAGTACATGCATATGTATCGTGTCTAATGGTCACCCATAGAGTGTCTATTCCCACGTGCCCAAGTAGCATCGGCTGTACATGCATGTGGGAACAGATTTTCAAGTTCCAAGGTCTTCCAAAGTCGCCAACAACATTCTCCACACTTTCAAACATGTTCCTTACTATTTGATGCAAACGTCAAACGTCCAGCTCTTTATGACCTTCAGTATAATCATAACAGCTACAGTTTGCACGTTTTTTTTCAGACGGTATGTTAGTCAATGCAATGCCGTGTTTGTTATGGCGTCTCTGTAGAGATGAGCCAGTGGTGGTCCTTGTGTATTATTGTTGAGCCGGGAAGATACTCTCACTGTGGTCCCAGGTAACCTGTCAAAATGCTGAGGGTTAACGTACCTGCGATCGACTAGCATCCCATCCAGGAGGAGTCAGTATAGCACACTCATAGTCACTTCACGTTCATTGCAACTGCCTCCGACTGGACGGCGTCTTCACACCCAGGACCAACCTCGTTCCCAGGGTCTCTCTTCTTCCCGCCAAAAGCATCAGAAAAGAGACCGTCTCTTTCCTGATGCTTTTGGCGGGAAGAAGAGAGACCCTGGGAACGAGGTTGACCCAGGACCTCACCGACACAGAAAGTACCATTTTGGCCGAGAAGTACAATCGTGCCCATGCGGACGGGAGTCATTGGGACACCGGCTTTTGCAACAATAATGCCGATGTAATAGTTTGTCATGAATGCTATGAAAATGAGATCCTCCTTTCACCAAACAATGCAAGATAAGCAGCAATAAAGCATTCTTTTTCCATGCTACGCAACATTGTAAAGTGAGAGAGAGGGAATTATGATATACATTTGGACACTTGAAAACATGAGCCTTCCATTTTCATGCTCAGTGGTCATGACCATTAGCAGCCATCATTCCTAATGGACCTGTTCATTCGTTGAGTACTGTTCTACAAAATCAAACTATTTATATTGTTAATTAATATTTGGGTCATGCTAAAAATTAATATTAACAGCTTGAACTAATCAGTGTTCTGGTCAATAAAGTCAGTGCAGAAAGTTATGAAGATCAATTTTATGTAATCCAAACGCTCCGTTTTTTACCAAAAATTCATCCGTCCACACTATCGTTTTCGCGGCGTTTTCCCCGTCGACACTACTGCGTTTTCGTTTGAAAACACATCGCTCAAAAACGCTACAATTATAGTCATCTGCGCACGTGACAAATAGACGAATGACGTCAGCGTTTCGAAAGCCTCCGTTTTCGCTGTCCACACTGATGCATTTTCGTTTGGCTTCGTTTTCAAATGTTTCCACTCCGGACAGCGTTTTCAAATGTATGCGTTTTCGATGAAAACGCTTAGCATTGTAGTGTGGACGATAGGCGAAAACGCATCCAAAAGTATGCGTTTTCAAACGAAAACGCATCAGTGTGGACGAGGCCTGAGAACCGCGTTAGTCCTGTCAGGTATATAGTGTAAGACATTTCCCGGACCTATACAATTTTTAGTAAGGTTAGGCTGTGTCTGTTCCATGCCTGCGGCGGATGTATAGTTTCACTGTTTGGGAGTAAACGAAATACGTTCATTATTCACCTTAAATTCTTTCCAGAAATCCTCTTTGTGGGTCTTGTGTATTACTGAATCACGCGCAAATGCCGGTCGCTATGGCGCATGTCTCTATGGCACAATCCGCCAAGATGGCGGAAGTTTCACCCAAAACTGTCACCGACACTCACAGAAAATTAATATTTTAGCTTATTTTGAATAGTTTTAGTCTGTCTTAAACACAGTTTTGATTAACCTCAGCCTTCTGCCTATGACGTCACGAGCCACGCCTACTTAATCACTGTACCACGTGGCACTAAATTTGCTGGTTTTAATTTGGGCGATTTTTGCGGGTTTTTCAAGGATCGATCTGCAAAAAGAAGTTACCGCAAAATGTTCCCGCAGAAATTTTACGCCATGCACTTTTGAAATTATTAATATTAGACATCGTCCAAGTGCCGCTTATCATTACCTCGACCATTATCAGAACAATCATCTACAAACAGAATAAAATCGATGTTATTATGATAAAATAATAATTAAACCTCGATTTACGTGTTTTTAAAGGGTATATTACTTTGTTTTACACGGTGTTTTGTTGACATGTATCAAAAAGCAAACAATATTGCGTTGTATTATAAACATGTTGTAATTCCGATTGTAACTAGAAAATAAATTCCCTGCACGAAAACCAGTCTCTGTCAATCGCGAAACACAAAAAATCGCCAATCCGCACAATTAAACTCTCACCAAAAAATGCAGTACCACACGGTATATAGCATTACTTATACGAGGAGTTACTCTGCAGTTATTGAAGTAAAACACTCATCGTTTGCAGCAGCTAACGTCACGGGAAAATGTAGCCCAAAATTTCTAGTTCGTCGTTCGTAATCCTTCTCAATCTTCCCATCTTAACCATGCTTGTTCCTTTCACTTCATTATTATCTCTTTAGTGTTTTTCTCTAGATCTGAAACTATTATATTTTAAGGCAAGTTCCATCGATTTTACAAGGTAACTTTGTGCACGCCAAAAATGACTTTCTTTTCAGTTTTTTAATTGTGACATAATAACGTGATGCTCAAACTTTAACCAAATACTTGACAATTCGTAAATGGAAGACTATTTTCGTCGTTTTCTCAACCGGAAAATGTCAGAATGAACGGGACTTAGTGAAAGAGGGATGTTTCACATTTGACCAAAAATTTGGGAAATTTCGATTGGAATGTAAGTAGCAAACTGTTAGTTTTGGTTCGTTCGCGATTTCGAGGGCAAAATTCCCGTAATGAACGAATGATTCGACTGAGAATCACAGAGTTCCTTTTTGCCTGTCGCTCATCGATTGTGCTCATGCACTTCTTGCACCATATTTTACTCGAAGGCCTGGCTACGTAGCTCATCGGTTCCAGGCGTTCCGTGGCACGCGCCCAGTCTGGTAAATGGGTCACTCCAAATCTCTTATGGAATTTCCGTTTGCGGATTTTCCGTTCTATTTGCGAAACTGACTATGGACCAACCAGTTTCCCTACGTAAATGGTAGACACCCCAAACATTCTCACCTGGAATAACCGACCGGAAAAGTGAAATCCGTTTCCTTCATTGATTTCTATCGGCCATGCGCCAGTTCCAGGCCTTGCTCATTCATATATGAGTGGCTATCGGGCCCAGGAGCGCTCGGAGTAAATTCTCAAGTCTCCAATGGAATTTCGATTCTGTTCCGGATTTCTGTATATGCCATTCGCACAAAGGGGGTGTAATCTCTTTTTGTCATGAACATTGTAAACGATGGTCTATTTGGAGATATAAGTAGAATTTCAAATCGCGCGAGTGTTTTATGAGTTCGCGCATCGAAGGAGAAAGTCAGACTCAGCTCGAGTTGAATCCGAAACATTTTGACATCAGCGAGACGGTGGCAGTCAAACAAAAGTAAATTAATTCTGGCTTTAATTGAGCACATTATGGGATAAGATTAGCTAGCTTTCGGGGAGGGATCCATGCAGAGATCCATGATTCTGACTTTATAATGAAAAAAGCGTTTCTTTTTCCGGAGTACTTGTGGATTTCCACTGACGCGTACTACGTGGTGGCCTAATGGTTAGCGCGCTGGACTCCGGATCGAGCGGTCCGGGTTAACGCCCTGGCCGGGGTCACTCTGTTGTGTTCTTGGGCAAGACACTTAACTCTCACACCCAGGAGTATAAACGGGTACCGGCGACAAAATCCTGGGGGTAATAACCTGGTGTTGGACAGCATCCCACCAAGGTGGAGTAACAATACTTCTAGTCGCAGTTAGCTGGTGAGTTGGAGTTGACATCCAGAGGTCAGTGTTGTGTTTTTAGGCAAATCATTGAACTCTTACAGTGTCTCTTTCCACCCTGGTACCTGTGATGGACTAGCATCCCATACAGAGGGAGTAGCAATACTTATGCAGTTGAACCACTCTACAACGTCCACCATGGAGCAGTTAACTGGCCCGTGTAAACTGGCCCGTATACGTGTCATCATAATAGGTATCCCGAGTCTCAAATCGCTCGTCTTTTTAGTCTTTGTAATCATCCAAAGCGGTTCAGTTGAGGTTTAGCAGTGATAAAGGAACAAAAAAGACTGTGGATGACTTTATAAAAATATGGCGTCATAATTAGTTTTACAATAACTGGCAGAATTCTCGTGCGCATGTGCTTATCAAGAGAAGTTGATGAGAGTACCAATCTCGTTCCCAGAGTCCTCGTAATCCTTGTCCAGCGGCGGAACGGACAACAAGGACCTCTGGGGGGAAGCGAACCGCCGTGACAGAATTCTTGGACTTCCGGTTCTTCTGCGCATGTGTTCGACTCCATGCTTCAACAAATGGAAACCAAGATTCTTGGACTTCCGGTGTTAATGCGCAAGTCAGGCGGATTACTCTATCCCAGAGGTCCTTGTTGCCCGTTCCGCCGCTGGACAAGGGTAACGAGGACTCTGGGAACGAGATTATGAGAGTACAGACCATGAAAATAAACGTGCAAATACACGAATCTGATTGGTTATTTCATCGCTGACTATTTGCTGAAAGGCCACAATACTGAACAACCGATTAATTCACCTTGATGATCGTTTCTTGCGGTTTCTTGCTACATTGTAGGAACGGCGAATTTTATTGCTACATATTCATTCATTCATTCATTCATTCATTCATTCATTCATTCATTCATTCATTCATTCATTCATTCATTCATTCATTCATTCATTCATTCATTCATTCATTCAT